TCACCCAGAAGGTGTTTGTTTTCTATACAGTTCTTGGTTTCCTTCTACTCAGTAACTCCTTTCCTTCGGGCTCCTTCCCTTTCTCCCTATTCATCAAAAGCTCAGAAATTAAATAAAACAGTAAATAATTCCTCTGCAAGGAGCCTTCCTGGTGCTGTCTAAAACAAACACAATCTTCTGTTTGGGCATTTTACACACCACACGCATTCTTACTTAGATTAAACCGTGGGTCTCCCTTGTCTCCAGGCATGCCTAGACATGAACCATAAAGCAAATGAGATCCTTGGAGTTTCTCTAGTAACTGCAGGCCAAATCAACAGCAACCCTGAGAACAAGCATTCTAAAAAACAAGACCAACCAACAAACAAAAAGCCCCACAGAACTAGGCCGCATACACTTTTTCTCATTATTTCATTTTTTTTAGTTGTACTACCTACAAAATAAACCGCATTTTAAAAATTTATTTCAGTAGGCAGTGCATCTTGGTGACTTTTATGTATGTTTTCTTTATTTTTATTATATTTGAAAAAGTTTTTAAAATTGAATTTAGAGAGACAGAAGCATGAATTTGTTGCTCCACTTATTTATGCTTTCACTGGTTGCTTTTTTAACGTGCCTTGACCAGGGATCAAATCCTCAACCTTGGTGTATCAGGAGAACATTCTAACTGACTCAGCTACCCAGCCAGGGCCTGAAAAAAAGTTTTAAAAATCTAAATTTCAAGGCATCTACTGCAGCCTTCACGGGAAGCAATTCGACTCAGGTAAGGCATGTGAGATCCAAACTGATAATCATAAAACATCAATCAAGGAGAGGTATTAAAATCTTGCATTGAGAAAAAAATGACTAACAATTTGAAAGAACGGAATTATTTTTGTAACTGTGCCCTACTCAAGACTTAAAAGTTAACATATTGCTAATGGAATGAAAGATATTTTGCTCCTGATTTTATTCAGGAGCAATATACAAATACAAATATATTGTATTTTATTTAACTATAAAATACAAAATTGGCTCTACAGTTACCGTGAAAGATGTCAGAGGTTAATTACCTCTGACTTCAGTATGTTGCCTGGTATGACGTCATTGTACATTTTAAAGGTGTATAAGGAATTAATGTGTTCTACAATATTGTGCCTCTCCCAAAGATGAATAGAACTTATAGTTAGTTGTAAATTAACTGTCTTTTGCAACTTAACTTTACAAGTTAATTTTTACATTAAAGTTTTCTGTACTATACACTTTATACTTCACTTGGGTTTCTTATTCTTCATTTTGTTGTTCACAGAAGAAATGATGAATCTGTCAAAATATATGTTTTCATATTCAAAGATAATGCTATAATTTACTCAACTTTATCCTTAGAAAGTTGTTCTGGTGTTTAAATAGTGTGAATATGGAATTCGTGTTGAATGATCTGGGTTACCTGCCCCATCTGTGTTACTAGGGGCATCTGCAAGACCATTTGCCAGGGTTAGGGAGTCAATCTATAGCTGGGAAGCTTTTTTGTGGAAAATAATTCGCAAATAAGCTTTCAGGGTCAACAATGAGTGTACCGTAGTGTGTTCATGAAGACTATATGGTGCGGGCCGGGGGGAGGGGAGCTACTCCCAATTGAGTTCCACAAAGTGTATATTCTTTATCCTCTTCTGATTCATTCATTGAAGGAAAGGGGGGAAGGAGTAATTAAGGAAACGATTATTAGTAGAGGTCTCCCAGAAATCCTCTGCAACTGTCCTCTTTGCCGAATCTACTCCGAGTACACAAATAGAAACACATCTACGTCATTGAACGTGAAATGGTGAGAGTAAGAAAATGGACCTGGTCACAAGACATTGTTCCTCCGTCCTTCACAGCCCTCACCCTGAATGTCCAAATTTAGTCTTGCTTCAAGGACCTCCTCAGTGTCACCTGCTCCATGAACCTTCCCTGGCCCATTACAATCCACAGTGTCCCATTCTACCCACTTTTGTCTCTAGCCTGTTCAGTAATTTATTGTACACTGTCTCCAACAGTAAATAATGTGTTCCGTTTTTGTTATCACCTAGATTGTATATATGGAGGTGGAATGAATGACCTTAGGTGCTGAACACATAGCTGGTTTTTAAATAAATATGTGCTGCAAGTAGGAAGAGTTTGTTTAAAGCAGCACAATTTTGAGAGTATAAAACTGTGGCCTTGATCTCATGAGGGCCACACTTGGATCCAACTGGCAAGCTGGCTGGCTCACGATTTGACTCTCACCTCACCACCGGGCCCTCCAAGAGTGTAAGGGGAACGCAAGAGTGAAAATGACACTCCCAAAGTCAGCTCTCCGCAGGTCACAGGGTATCCCGGCCCATCTGCATCTGGAAAATTCAGCCTACAGTTTGGAGCCTGGCAAGCTGTCTTCCCTAATGGGGATGAGCATGAAAAGTTGGCTTGTGGGGCCCTTGGGGAGGGTGACGGGAGTAGGAGCTCTTCGCCCCTCACGTCAGATCAGGTAGAGAAACCTTTTGAGAACCTGTGCCTTGGTCTCCCGGGCGTCTTCCGGCCCCCGCCCCTTCTCGGAGCTTCGCTCCCTCCCCCCCCACCCCTCCCCCAGCCGGGCTCGCGCCCGCCCTGCCCCTCCTCCCGCAGGGTTCCAAGGGCGGTTGGCTCGCCGCGGTCGCGGTCACTCGGCCGCTGGGAGTTGCGGGGCGCAGGGGGTTGAGCGAGCCTGCCGTAGGGTTTGGGCTGGGAACTGTAGAGAAGTAGTGTGGGGCGGCCCGCCTGGGAGGGAGGGAGGTGGGGACCGGCCCGAGAAGGCTCAGGGGAGAGGAAAAGGGAAGGGAACCTGAAGCGGGCGGGGGGCGCTTGGGGGGCGCGGGAGGCCGCGGGGCGGCGGAGGCGAAGCTAAGGGGCCGGAGCTTCGGGGAACCACCTGGGGTCGGGCCCCGGGGCTGCAGACCCCTGGGGCGCCGCCCGCGGGCTGGCCGTGCCACGCCTGGCGCTCACCGCCAGCCCTGCCGGAGCAGCGCAGCCTGCAGGCCGGGCGAGGGTCCCCGGTGGGTCCGGTGGAGTCCTCCGGAGACCCTCTCCCTGGGCTCTGCGGGTGAAGCGTCCCGGGTGAAGTGTGTGGTCCTGGCGGGTCGCGCTACCCCGGCCCGCAGAGGAGGACTCCGCGTCGGCTCTGCGCACCGTCCGGGAGCTGCCGCCCCCGGGCGCCCGGTGCTCGGTTTGTAGGCAGTGTAATTAGCTGATTGTACTCTAGTACTTGCAATCACTAACTCCACTGCCATCAAAACAAGGCACGGCCTCACCCGCAGCCCCGCCGGGAGGAGGACGCCGCCCTGGGCCGCAAACGGCCCACCTGGAGCGTTTGGGAGCCGAACGCTGCGCTTCGAGACCCGAGGCGGCGGCGCGCGGTCGGAGCGCGAGTGAACCGCTGCGCGTTCGGCGCGCTGCTGCTTCCCGACGCGTTTCAACCGCCCCTCTCTAGGAGCAAACGCAAGATTGTGCAATCCCGCGTTAAGGAAAGCGAAATAGGGGAGATTAACGGCTTTAATTGTGAGATACAGACTTTAAAACCGAGGGGAGGAGCCCCCTCTGTAACGTTTAATGCTGTATAGCTGTGATTCATTTTGCCTCTTTTCACTGTTTAGTAGGGCACTCACAAACCCACCAACCGACGTGAGCTATAGCGGAATCAACGATCGACATAGCGCAATGTATGGGGCACCTACTTCAGACTGCGGTTTGTGGCGAAAGTAAACTTTATTCTGTGAGTCTAGTTACTAGGCAGTGTAGTTAGCTGATTGCTAATAGAACCAATCACTAACCACACGGCCAGGTAAAAAGATTTGAGAATTCATCCAGATGAACTTGTGCACAGCAGTGTGTTTGAGGGAGACGGGATTAAAACATACTAGTATTAACCAATGCCTATTTTACCAATAGCTCAGCTAAAAAAAGAATCAACCTATTAGTTGCTAAACATACAACGTTTGTAATATATATGTACTTTTATATGTACTTTTTTAGTATTTCTTCAGACTCTTAGCTAGAAAAGTTTCAGGTAAATTGGGGAATCAGGTTTTCCCCTTACCTGATCTCTGTCATTGTATAGACTTGTGATTATCAACTTTTGCAGTACTTTTCTGTGAGACTTTATTAATATTTTGAAAGAATAAAATGGCATAACATCACAAACTGTGGGTTATTAGCATGTGTTCATTTCCTAAGTTATGAGGATCATCGCAATTCCTGTCACAGAAATTACAACTTCCCTATCACTGAAATGGTTAAAAGACTGAATTAACAATTTTTTTCTTAAAATATTTTTCACGGAGGGATTCAGTCCGCTTATCAGATGTACCCCTTCTTTCAAGCAATCATTCACACTGTTGCAGCCTAGGCAGCTCTCAGTGGGGCCCACTGATAAACGCAGTGTAATATAAATCCAGCTTCTTTCCTAAGATTTGTCTTAAAGGATTGGGCCTGGGGGGGGCAGTTATAACAAAAACTATATACATGGGTACCCATCGGTCAGGTTCAGACCTCTGGCTCCCCAATAGGATGCTAACTGCCTTATTTAATTCTCCAAGCAAAGCTGACCCAGAATTTCCCTTTAAGGGGTGCTGAGCTACGGCAATCGAGTGTGGATGGGGGATTGGGGCGGTGGGGCTAAGGACTGAAAGCTTTACTCGTATCTTCTGGGGGGTTGGAAGCTAGAGAATGAGGAGGCAGATAGAAGATTAACTGAGAGAGAGCTGAGGTGCTTCCCCGCTGACTCCAACAAGACAAGACACGCCCCCAAATTGGTGTTTTGACTCCCATATCCGGACTCCAAGGCTAAGGCTGGTCTCGAAGCCTGTGATCACTGCAGAAGTGGGCTTCAGAGAGCCCACAACGCCCGATGGACCCCAACATGTATGGAATAAACTGAAGGCTTCTGGCCCGGCAGTCGCCAACTTGACCGTTCTCCGAGGGGCGGGGCTGGTAGAGGGGCCGGGGAGCTTGTTGAAGCGTCCTGAGTTGCCATGGAAACGAAGCCGAGAGCAAGCCCTAGCAGTGGAAAGGAGGCCTATGAAATTTGTCCCCAGGGACTACTGGTGTTCAGCGGCTCTTCAGAACAGGACATGAACTTGGCCAAGCAATTTTGGATCACAGCTTCAATGTACCCTCCTAATGAATCCCAGTTGGTGTCTGGAGGCAGCACTCAGCGTCTGCCGGTGGCCGGGGTCTCCAAGACCAGTGAGGCTGGTGAGTAGCTGCCTCCAGGTGATCATTTCTGCCTCCACCGTGAATAACACTGAAGATACTAGAGCCCTTCTTTCCAAGAGAAACTGCCAAACATAATTCTCTTAAATGTTTTTTTCCAGTTACAGATGACATTCAAAATTATATTAGTTACAGATGTATAACATCGTGATTAGACATTTATATAGCCTATGAAGTGTTCCCCCCATAAGTTTAGTGCCCATGCGTATACTTGTTACAATACTATTGACTATATGTAAATGAAGTCACATGGTATTTGTCTCTGATTTGTCTCACTTATCTCACTTAGCATAATACCCTCCAGGTCCACCCATGTTGTCACAAATGGCAAGACTTCATTCTTTTTTATGTCTAATATCCCATTGTATATGTGTATCACATCTTCTTTATTCATTTATCTGTAAAACCTAACTTTAAAATAAGAATCTTTCATTTGAAATGTGTAAAACCCTATATAAATAATTCTTCAAACTTCTCAGCAATCTTTCTACTCAAAATCTTTGTTACATCTAAAAGTACATCTCACAGTATCCCTTAGGCAATGCATCTATTTGGCCAAAGGGTTTGGAATAATCTGGGGAAATGTTATATCTTGGTTTAAAGGATATTAAGAATAATTCTTTACATAATTGAGTTCAAACGTGCAATCCCTGGAGAAAGTTGAAGGCAGAGTCAACATTAGGAACCAAAATCTTCCCTGTCCTGTAAGATTTTAGTAAGGCCTAAGATATGAAAACCTTTACTATGTAATTTTTATAGGTATAAAAAGCTTAAATACTTTTAATGCTATGGTTTCCCAATTATTTCTATTCTTTTGTAATTTTTAGAGAAAAGTTACTTGCAGTCTTCTTTCCTTGAGAAAAACAGTAAGTACCAAGTTTTATGTCTTCAACATCCTGACTCTGAGATTCTTCAGAAAATGGATAGTAAGTATAAGGATACAACTTTACACTTTGGCACAACTTTCTGAATTGCATACCAAAACCCTGCTTCAGGAACTGCCCTATTTATCTGGAGGGAAACGTCTAAATTCCTATAGCCTGTTGAATAGGAATGTGGAAACTGGAATCTCTGATACTGCAAATATGTTCTCTTTAGAGACCTTTTCTTGTCTCTGGACTCAGACTTACTTAATCTTCTAAAAAGATTAGAGGTTCCCTGCAGCCATAGCTAATTAATTCCACCTCCAATTGTTTATGAATCTGGTTTATAAAGTTTTAAGACAGTATGTATTCATGTTTACCTTTCTACTGTATTTATGTTTACTTTTGCACTTTTAATCTTTATGCAATTTTATATAAATATTATTGTAAAATCATTATAAAATTATTCCAGATTGAATTTGACTTTATTTTCTTTAGAGGCTACAGATGATATTGCTGAAACCCTAAAGATTGAGGAGAAAGAAAAGTATCTCCAAAAGGTAGGCCAACATTTCAGAAGGTCATATGATTTTCAGTAAACTTTTCTAAATAATCCTAATTATTTTTTTAAATATATGTATATAAAAATTTTCTATTTCTGGTATGTTTGCTTGAACAAATGGAAAACCTTTATTAGAGTTTTAATTGAAGATTAAGAAATTCTATTAAACCTTGGCTGTTCTCAGTCTCTTCAAAAGCCCAAGGATATATAGAAAAACAGAATCAAAGGGAAATGCAGAAAAATGAATTCACATACTGTCTATCCAATAAGGCCCCAAACCATACACAATGTTCTAAGAACAGAAATATTATAAGATCAGGAAAAGTTGAATATAATTGACCATCTTAATAGGTCAAAATTAAATGATGGGAGGAATAAGTCTGTCATCTAGAACCATTTTCATGCAGGGCTGAAATTAAACATATTGGTGGTATCAAATCAACTGAATATGTCTGTTTTGGCAATATCCTTTGTTTGCTTTTCGTGATGCAGCCACAGCCTTTAACTCGGCAATTAATGCAGTGATTTATAGAAATGTTTTGTGGGTTAATGGAGAAATTCCATTTCTGTGACTGTTCCTGCACTATGAAGGCAAAGACAGAGGGTTCACTTTGGCCTAAATATCTTTAATCATAGCACATATTGGCAAACTCTGAAAGACTTATTGGGAATTCTGCATAAATTACAGAACAATGCATTTGAGTTTGCTGATTACATTAATTTACTTTGTGGACTATTGGTGATTCCTCCAAACAAATTAGGTAATGAAAAATAGTCAGCATTTTCTTCTCTTAAGAGGGTATTAGGTGCTGTATATTTATGCTAGGACTTAAAGGGAGGAAAGGAGCCTAATTTTCAGTGAGGCAAAAATCATTATAAAGGAACTTCTTCAGTACTTTGGAGTTTAAGTTTCATTTAATTTTATTTTTGGAAGGGATTAGAAATGAAAGATTAGAGGTAAACTATTATCAAATTTTTTATCTTTTGTCAGACAGATAAGACAATATGGCGTGAATTGCAGGTGGATGTTTTGCCAATGGGCAATTATATCAGCAATCTTAGAACCGGTTGCTTTGCCTCAGGTTCCCCAATAAACTTATAAACTGCTTAATTCCTCGGATATTTATTGAGAACCTGCTCTGTGTCAAATGCTGTATTAGATGCTGGGAATGCAAAGATAAAATGTGGTTCCTGATCTCAAGGAGTTTACAACTTAGTGGAGGAGATAGCCAATTAAAGTCAAGAACTGTGATATATTATTATGATAGATGTATGCACATGATATTATGGGAACATACTGAAGGTCAATAAATCAAGCTTAAAAAAATCAAGAACTCTTCTCAAAGGAGTTGATTTCAAAGAATGTATAGAGTTGACCAGACAAAATATGCAGAGCAATTCTGCACCCTGCACTAGTTCTCTTCCTAAATCCCAAGTCCAATTATGCTGCTCTCCTACTATATTAGTCTGTTGGGGTACCATAACAAAATACCACAGAGTGAGTAGCTTAAATGAAACAATTTTGTTTTCTCGTAGTTCTGGAGGCTGGAAGTCTGAGATCAAAATGCCATCAGAGTTGGTTTCTGATGAAGCCTCTCTGCCTGGCTTGTAGGTGGCCACCTTGTCCCTGTGACCTGACATGGCAGAAGGAAGGCTGTGGTATCTCTTTCTCTTCTTATAAGGACACTGGTCTTATATTAGGACTTATAAGGACACTGGTCTTATATCAAGGTTCTTGAATGAACCTTGATAAGTTCATTTAACCTTATTACCTCCAAATACAGTTACACTAGGAGGTTAGGGCTTCAACATGGGTATTTGAGGGGGATACAGCTCAGTCCACTCACCTACTGTCATTTTTTCCATGGCTTTCCATTTCTGCAGGATCGAGACCAAACCCTTCAACATAGCATTCAAGTTCCTTTGCAATCTGACTGTGACCCCGTTGACTTCTCCTACCACTCTCTTCCTTTCCTTATACTCCACACCACCATCAATGTAACCTACCCTCTACAGTTGGTTCACAATCACTAGGCTAAGCCGCGTTATGTACCCCTCTCCATATGTGCTACCAAAGTTGAATGGGTAAAATATGTTTTTGCTAAACTAAACATATACATTATTCTGTGGTATCTTCTAAATTGTACATTAAGTCAAGTGGGTGCTGCAATACAGTATAGAAGATTATTTTTTGAGAGTAGAAGAGGCCTAACAAAACAGCGAGCCAGTAGAAAAGAAAGAGAATGTTACCAAAACTGTGTCTTGAATATAACAGTTGAGTCAGTTATCTTCAAACAATGATATGGTGCAAATAGCAACCAAGAGAATCCTGCAATAACTTAATGCTCTTGGGAAATCCTCACATATTACTGTGATGTGGTATTCCTAATAGCCAAGTTAGTGAGTCCAGGCCATGTGCTCATATACTACTATGCTAAGCAGTTTACATCTACTCATAATCTCCTTAAAACGGCCTCATGATGCTTATCCCATTTAATCAAAGAAAGCATAAATTACTTTCCACAGTCCCCATAACTGGGAAGTGGCAGAGCCTAGATTCAAAGCCTGTATCCTAACTCCAGAGCTACTGAGACTCATTGTATTGTAAAGACTGCTGACCATGGCATTGTTCATATACAGCACCAATATTCTAAAACTCAAAACAGCATAGTGAACACAAGTGTGAGAAACAGCTTCCCATCCCTGCAGAACTATAAGCTGTTTCTTCAACCTGCAATGCACTTTTATGCCTCTACCTATAATACTGTTCTCCATTTATCTTCAAGGCCAAGCTCAAATGTCACCTTCTCTCTGAAGCTTTCCTAGAGGTGATCTACAGACTAACAGATGAACAGCTTTCTTCTCTGTGCTCCCATAGCATGACCCATCTACCTCTGCCTTAGTATTTATCACAGTTTCTTATCTGGATCAAAAGTTATTGGGTAGGTTTCCATCTTTCCAACTAGATTACAAGCGCCATAGTGTAGTGGACTTTGGAGTCAAAGTGGGTTTGGAGGTCTAATTCTGCCACTTACTATTTGTGTGACTTTGAGCAACCTGTTAAACACCTGTGAGGCTCAGCTTCGTCAGATATAAAAGGAGGAATGGTAAAACTATCTACTTCATAAAGTTGATATAAGATGAAAGCATCTGACCATAGTTTCCCCTCAACAAAAGTTAATTTTCTTCTGCTCTATGAGTGCAGAGGTCATTCCTTACTCACTTAACCCCCATGCCTTTCCAGTTACTGAAATTCAAATATTTGTTGACTGAATAAATAAATGCGTAATTGAATTAATGAATGACAATGTATGCTTTCTACGATAATAGCTCCATTTTCTTTAGCCTTTCCACATATATCCATCTAGCAAATTTTCTTTTTTTCCTATTTATTTAATTATTGTTCAAGTACAGTTTTCTGTCTTTTACTCCCATCCCAGCCCACCCCACCCCCAGTGCTACCCACCTCCCTCCCATTTCCACTCCCCTTAGTTGTTGTCCATGTGTCCTTTATACTAGTTCCTGTAAATCCTTCCCCTTTTCCCCTGAAATTCCCCCCCCTCTCCCCTGGTCACTGTCAGCCTGTTCTCTATTTCAGTGTCTTTGGTTATATTTTGCTTGCTTGTTTGTTTTGTTGTTTAGGTTCCTGTTAAAAGTGAGATCATATGGTATTTGTCTTTCACTGCCTGGATTATTTCACTGAGCATAATGCTTTCCAGTTCTACCCATGCTGTTGCAAAGGGTAGGAGTCCCTTCTTTTTTTCTGCTGCATAGAATTCCATTGTGTAAATGTTCCATAGTTTTCAGATCCATTCATTTACTGTTGGGCACCTAGGTTGCTTCCAACTCTTGGCTATTGTAAATTATCCTGCTGTGAACATTGGGGTGCATAAGTTCTTTTGGATTGGTGTTTCAGGGTTCTTAGGATATAAACTTAGCAGTGGAATTGCTGCATCAAAAGGCATATTCACGACTTCACTCTAAGAAGAAAAGAAACCCAATTAAAAAGTGGACAAAGGACTTGAACAGACACTTCTCCAAGGAGGACATACAGAGGATCCAGAGACACATGAAAAGATACTCAATATCACTAGCTATCAGAGAGATGCAAATTAAAACCACAATGAGATACCACTTCACACAGGTCATAATGGCCATCATAAACAATGCAACAAACAACAAGTGTTGGAGAGGTTGTGGAGAAAAGGGGACCCTAGTTTTCTGTTGGTGGGATTGCAGACTGGTACAGCCACTATGGAAAACGGTTTGGAATTTTCTCAGAAAACTAAAAATGAATATGCCTTTTGACCCAGCAATTCCACTTCTAGGATTACATCCATCTAGCAAATTTTCCAGGCTGAAAATTTGTAGGCTGATAATGTGTGCAAGAATACTCCCCAAAGCTAACCTGTGTGCAGGTCTGCTTTAGGACCATTTTTAGCACATCACCTCTCCTCTCAGCTGCGCTTTTGTCTCATGGCTTTATATATGATGAGAGGAAAGGTGACTCCCTGTAATTACTAAAATATAGAATCAATTTTGGGGTACCACTGTTTTTCTAAGTCTATAGTACTGACTCTATATTGCTGCCACCACTATTCTAGAATTTTTAGCTTGATGGCAGAAAATAAATGGAAGTGGTTCTTTTTAACTAATAAAACATTTACAATAATCTATTTGATTTAAGAGAATCTTCTACATGTTTTGAACACCTATATGATAAATAAATTCCTGGAATAATTTTCATTTTAAAATAGGAAAAATATTTCCCATCACTTCTCTGAAAAGTTTCTTTTTCTTCCACTATCTCCTTAAAATTAATGAAAATCTAAAAAAGTATTTTTTTATTTCTTCTAAAAATACATTTATACCTTTCTCTCCTCAACTGATATTGATTTTTTAGTTGTTGAAAGTTTTGAAACTTTAACATTATCCTCCATTTTGGAATATTTTCCAGGTATACATTATAAATGCTTTTGGTTAGTGTACAAAATGCTA